CACAAAGGGGTAAATCTCAAATGAAGAGCATTTTCACTAATCCTCCAAGCCACGAAGGGGATACATCTCATTAATCCAAAACTCTATTACAACGATGAATATAATAGAAGGGGTGGAGTGTTATCTATAGAAGTGAGACACTAGTTGCATTCATAGCCTCCAATACGAACAAGGTTAGATACCACTATAGGATCACTATGACGATGACCATTCTTGAACGTACCTTCACCATCAGAGAATGGTCTTGGTTGTTTTTACGTGCGAGGCACCTCACCACTATGCGTAGGTGACTACCAAGGAGCTACCGGCTACAACTTGATGGATTTCTACAATTGGAAGGTAGCCATCCCAACTAATCGTAGGGTTGCAACTATTATTGGACTTACACTAATCATACCAAGTTGCACTGACTCTTTATCTATTTCCTTGAGCTAGTAGAATATAATATGTAAAGATCTAACCCTTTATTCGTTTTTGGGAGTCAATATAGTAAAAATGTGTAAAGATATATAGCATTTTGCCCATTCCTGGAGGCTAAATAAAATACCAAGTCTAGCCCTTTGTCTCGCTAGAAGCTATGGAGATATAATAAAATTAATTCATTGTCCTTTGATTGTAGTCATGTAGATGTAGAAGGATAAGCTCCTTATTCATTGTTGTGAGCCAATAAGATATAGCAACAAATATTGCAATAGAAATCATGACCATTACATACGTCCAACCATGTTGTCGAAATAAATGTAGCCATATCTAGCCATGTATATAAAACTAATGTTGAAGTAGATCATGTCTATAACATTCCCAACGGGGTGGGTGAGTTGTGGTCATCAGCAGAAAATAGAATATAGCATGTTTGATGTGGAAATAAATCATGTGAACCTTTTTTAGTCACAAGTCTAAAGTCGATTTTATTAATTTGGCATGATATATATTGTGAATTTCAAAATAATACAAATTCATCCCTAGGAAAATAAACTTCTAACCACAAAATCAAAGGAAAAAATAAGTGTTTATCTCTCGTAAAATTGGTTATAATTGCTTCGAAAGAAAATAATCAATTAAAAGACACAAGTAACCAATTACTAATCTCGAAAGGAAACTTTCCAAAAAATTTTACTAGGAAATGCCTTACACTTATTAAAGTGATTGATTACATTCATTTATGACAGGTTATTTCAAAAAGTAATCGTTTGTTTTTCTTTTTTGTAATCAAAACTTTAATATTTTAAACTAAGCCAACTTAAACATAAAATACTAATCAATGGGTGAGGTTATTATCGCAGTTTAAATAGTTAATATTGTATTTTTTAAATATAATTATCTATTATAATTTTATTATACTATTTTCAAAATTTTATATTTTTTTGTTTTTTAATAAATTAAAAAGTATCATGGTCAATTAAAATAAAAAAAGTGTGATATTAATAATTAAGGATGTGATAATAACATTACCACTAATTTATAATCTTTAATTTAACATACTATATAATATATTTATTAAAAAATTATTATTTATATCTAAAATTAAAAATAATTTAATTTAAAGATATAAACATGTAAAAACTAATTAAATTAATTATATTTATATTATATTTTAATAATGAAATCAAACAAATATTAAATGTATATCAAATAAAAAAAGGTGGTACTATAGGAACAACTTTTTTATACCAACCTTTTTATATAATTTCCACATGACATTAAATGAGTGGATGCATTCAATATCATGGGTCTCATATAAATTAAAAGAACCAATCATTTAAATGACATGTCAGGTTGTATAAAAAGATAGGACAAAAAAGTTGTACAAAAATCATTTCCCATAAAAAAAATGTACCAATTATTATTAATGGCTTCCTGAAAATAGATTATGGGGATTGAGCAACCAAATATGCCTTGACTATGGCTAGGGATGATAATTGTCTCTAAGACCCGCGAAGCTTCACGCAAATCCCTGTCGCGAGGATGGAGATTTCAAGAATATTCTTTCCCATGGGATTGGAATGAAGGCATTTTTTTTCCTATGAAATTTCATGAGGAATTTCTTCATCCTATGAAGACCCGCGATGATCCATATATAATAAAAATATATAAAAATTTATTCTTATATATATTTTTGTAAATATATTACTAATTAATTTTTACTCACTCAACCTAATTGGCTAACCTAACCGAGCCTAAATTGTCCAACCTAATTCCTTTTCCAATTCTAGTCTTCTCAAATCTAATTCAATAACCCAACCCAACCTGGATTTGTATGGTAGTTCATGCATTTTTATTTTATGAACTTGCTGTTGAACTTATTGGACGTGTATGATTGTGTGTATTTGTGCAATTGGTTACTAGATATTGCTTTGTTGCATTAAATGTTAATGTATTTGCTTGTTTGAGTTGTTTTAAATTTTTACTTTTTTTTTTTTATTTATCAAGAACAAAATGAGGTTAAATTCTATATATTTAATACTTAGCGGGGAATCCAAATGCCCGCAGAGACTTATCATTCCCTGTGGGTATAAAGACGAAGGTCATTTTTGGCCCTCCACCAAAAATCCTCATGAGGATCCCCATACTTGTCATTGGCGGGGATGGGGAGGGAGCCCCCACCTTGTGAGAAGTCGTTGCCATCCCTAAATATGGCAAGCCACTCACATTGGTGATTGATTGTAATAATTATAATATTAGATTTGTTATGCTATATATATATATTCTTTTTGATAGGAAATAGAGAAATATATTAAGTAATAAAAATTACAACAAATCTCCATCTCATGGCATTATAACCAAAAACAAAATAGCTTAAAGACAAAATTAGAAGCATAACCTATAGCATTAGTAACAGATTTAAACTATGCCCATGACGGATGTAGGCAATTAAACAAAGAGAGTCATCTGCAACTAGAGATTGAAATTACAATCATTGTATAAACAAAATAGAGCTACTAATGTAGAAAAAGGAGTCACTATAAGTATTAAGAACTACTGAACATTCTCACCTATTTAACCAGCTTCCTAGGGAAAGCAAGGGATTCCGACAACAAACAGTCCCTAACCCGCAAGTTACCGCCCTACTTGTTCTTAAAGAAGAACAAACAAGAGGGGCCTTCTCCAAACAAACACAAGGCCCCCAATTGCCTCCATATACACCCAATCATGTTCCCATCGTTGTTGATCCTCTTCAAACCCATGTTGTCGAAACTCAATAAGGGAACTCAAGCCCCCTTGCCAGCTTGAATAACAAGCTTCCACGTAGACCCTAGCCGACTTTAGCAATAGCATCCTTGTTCTTCTACAATCGGCTAGTTGATCAGGAATTGGTGTGAACCAATTTCACCGAATTCAACCCCCGCCAAGATCCCATCCTAGGAGATATGCCAAAGTGAGATTCTTGATTGTTAAATAGGAGAAACCCACTTCACTGGCAAGATCAATTTTAATCGTAGCCTTTGAAAATCAACAGATGTAAACTCTAGAAAACCTAAATATGCCGCTGCCTTGTGGTCTCGTGGGTTGGAGTTTCCAAAGCAAGATAGTGACAAGATGAACGAGGGGATCAAGAGAAGGGAGGGGTAAGAAGAAAGGAGGGATGAAAGAACTCCTCTGCCAGAGAAAAACCCAAAGGAGGAAAACCCACCACCATTGCTCTCAACCCTAGAAGCAATGCATGGGAGAAACCTAGGGAGGCCTAAGCCAAGCCAATCTATATAAAGTCTTTCCGTACATAAAAGCTTGAACACAATATTTCTAATCGATGAGATTAAAAGACTAAATGTTTGACGAAAAAGAATATTTAGTTCAATGAGTTTAATGGTTTACCATTAAGTCTTAAGAGTTTAGATTTAAATGATTGAAAATTTTACTCTTATGAATGACTTAAAAAATTTCCTCTCCTTCCAAAATTTCTCATATTAAAAAAAAATAATAATAATAATAATAATAAGTTTGACGAAAAAAGGGCAAAAAATCATGATTGGAGTATAACTAGTTAGAATTTTTTTTTTTGAACATGAAAAAATTGAGAGAAAGAGAATAACATTACAAGTGGTGCCTACCATCTAAAATGTACCTACCATTGAAGCCACAGCTGCGGATGTATACTTAGTTAGAATATTGAAAATATTATGTTTACAATGTTATATTGTATTATAAATTTATAATTATAATATGTTTTTATAATTATTTAAAATTGTTATGAAATATCGAAATTGTGCTTTTTTTTAATATTTTATTATCACAAAAATTATTATTTGATAATCATTTTGAAATGAGTGTTATTCATCAATATAATTATTAAATTATATAAAATATTAATTAAAATTAATTTAATTATAATAAATTAACACTTTTAATACAATACCATGTGAAAAACACTGTACGATCGCAACTCTAAATTCAACCTCACTCATTTAATTTTATATTAATATTATAATATTATAATATTATATGATATTATACATATATTATTTTTATTAAAATATTTTTATAATTGAATTACGAAGGAGAGGGCAACCGCTCTTACCTTTGTCTATCCTTTCCTTTCACAACCATTGAAAGACTTAACACCAATTTAATTAGGGGTGAATATTGGGTAAAGATACATTTGTTATTTATAAGTATTTTATTCATTTGAGTAAGTAGTATTATACTTGAATTGTTAAAAAATTGAATAAATAATAGGTATGAAAATAGTATACCTACATATATCAAGTCCAGTAATAAATATATGGATTCAAAATTATTTGTTTGTTCTATTAATCTACTTATTTAATTTATATGTTATATATATTTGTATAATTAAAATTTTACATATACTTATTATACTTAATATTTATATAATAATAATAATTTTTATAAATAAAATTAATAAAATACAAAAATAAAAATAAACATAAAGTAAGGTCTGTAAACCAAAAAAATCACATACATAGTAATAATAACTCATATAAATAACAAACTTTAATTCAAACACATAACACACATAGTAATAAGGAATAATAACTTGCACAATATCTTTTCTTTTCTTAAACTAAATACACAAATATATACTTACAAATTACCTAGGTCCTGTTAAGTTAGATACCAAATATAAGTTTTTGAGTGTTTACATAAGTATTAGGTCTAAAAAACTGTATCTAAAAATTTTCAAATTAAATACCACGCATAAGTCATATCCGATATATACCTGAAAATGTTTACCCAAAAATTTAATTACTAATTTAGAGAAAAGGGCGGGCCTGACCGCCCATTATTAAAATCTTAGACCGAAGAGAGGAGATTCATTAGGTGGGTTGTTAGGCTTCATCGGATTTGAGCTTGGAGCTGGTGGGCCTGGCGCAGTTTTACTGCCCAGTTTTCTCACCTTCGAATCTGCAAAAGCATGTCAATGGCCATTTATTTTTATTTTCACTATTATTTCCCCTTGAATTCATGCTAAATTATGAAAGACCAAAAAAAGAAGAAGAAAAAGATGAATTTATTATGCAAAGTATGAAAGAAAAAAATATCTTGATAAGGATTCCGGCGGAAAAATCAAAACTACAAGGGCATGTTAGTGCAGTATTTCATCACAATTAATTAAAATCAAAAGTTAATAAAAAAAAAAGAGGAAAAATTCATTTTTCATGTTCAAAGATCAACAAGAACAGCTACAGATACTAACCAGCTTTAACCTGAGGCATCTGCATCCACAACGTAGAAGTGATCAGCACCATGATAAGTACACATCGGAAGAAGGAAAATTTGCCCATAAGAAGAAAATTAGACTCTGATTTGCGCTGTCTCATTGGTTTCATGGTTTCAGCTTTGAATATATATATATACACACACCAATAGGTGTTTAGAAAAGTTTAAAAAGTATTATTTTTTTTTATAAATTTAAAATTTTATTTAAAATATTTAAAATTAATTTTTAAAATAAAATATAAATAAATTTTAAACTTTTAAGATTAAGTTAAAATTCATTTTTAAAATATAATTATTAATTTTTTTAAATAAAATTTTAAATTTATATGAAAGACATAATAATAACAATACATTTAAAGATACTATTTAAATTTTGCCAAACACCTTTATGACCATGTCCTGCAAAAGTCACTTTTCCTTAAATGTGGACGCTTACTCGGTTATCACTACTTTTTAATCCCCCTTTCGGCTCAATCCCCTTTCGGCCGCAATAATTAATGGTTTAATACCCAATTTGGTCCCTAAACTTTCATTTCAAAACTTAGTTCGTCCTTTAACTTCAAAAAGCACTCAAGTCATCCTTTAACTTTATTTTTCTGTAACCCAAACGGTTCTTCCGTTGACAGACTGCATACCTGGCACGTTAAGTGTCCAACAATTACCACTTTTATTTTTTATGAGCCTACGTGGAAAAAACAACTCAATCAATTGATTATCTGGCACAATTTTTTATTCCACGTTTGATTTTTGTCCCTCCAACCTTCTAAATAAAACAAAATAGTGGGGCAAACATGTCATTGTCTCCTTTTATTGATGTAGACTCGCCTCCCCTTTCTAGATTCTTCGCTTCACTCTCTTTCCTTTTCCCCTTTAACCCTTAGATCCTTTCTTCTTCAAAAACCCCCAAATCTTCTGGTAATAACCGGCAACCATTCCTTCTTCTTCTTCAACCCATAAATCCTCTAGAACCATTCTTGATTCTTTCTTCTCGAAACCGTTGATTCCAAGTCAGATTTGTTGGCAGCGATGTAGGTTAAGGAGAACAAAAACAAAGGCTTGAGGTTTCAAGAGGTCTAGGCCCTCTGATGTCCACCCAAACCAAGCTTCTTTGATGTTGACCGTGAGAACCTAGATCTGGGTTTTTCTCTCATGTCCATGTATTGGGATGTACAGTATTGAAATGGGATTCTTGATTTTGACTTTGTAGGTTGTTCTTATTGCTTTAGGTGATGCGATTTTTGCTTGCTAGATTTGATCAAGAAACCCAAATTTTGATATGGGTTTTTCGCCGGAGGAGATGAAGATGAAGATGACATCTAATTTGGGATTCTCGTTGGAGAAAATGAAAAACCCAATTAATGAATCAATTAGTTTTATATTTTTTAAAGGTTATAATAGCTTAATTAATTATGAATTAATTGCTCCCTCATGGATCTTCTCTTCACTTTTGGAGGACGGCTCCATGTATACCATCTGTAAAAAGTTGATAAATACAACTGAAAATTGCAGTGTTGTTCCTGCAAAGTTTGAGAAGTTTCCCCTTCTTTTTTCAATGTCTGCAGTTCCCCACTGGTTTATTTAGAAGGTGGGAGAGACGGAAACATAAGGTTGAATGAATTTGTTGTTGTGTCATCAATTGGCTGTGTTGTTTTTTCCACGTAAGCATATAACAATTAAAAGTGGTAATTGTTGGACACTTAACGTGCCAGGTATGCAGTTTGTCAACGGAAGGACGATTTGGGTTACAGAAAAATAAAGTTAAAGGACGACTTGAGTGCTTTTTGAAGTTAAAGGACGAACTAAGTTTTGAAATGAAAGTTTAGGGACCAAATTGGGTATTAAACCATAATTAATTACTGATGACTTTTGAATCCGAATGATACTTCCTACCGACTCCGCCGATTGAAATTCTCCACTTTCTATTGCGATGATATAAAGAGTGGGACTGGGAAAATTTAAAAAGTAAGTATGTTGTAAGCTAATTTTTTTTTTTATAAATAAAAAATTTTATTAGAGGAAAATTTAAAAATTGGTTTTGAAAGGAGCTTTTTTAATAATTTTTTTAAAAAATATTACATATTTAAATTTTTCTTAGAATGTATTAAAAAACTATTTTAAAAGGGTCTTTTTTTTATAAAAAAAAATTTGAGAGAAGAATTGGCTTAAAGTAAACTTATTTTTTAAGCTCTTCTGGACACTCTCATAATGGGCTTATCACAATGATATGGTTTATATTAAAATCTTAATAATAATGTATATCACTCACAATTTTTATTAAAAATTATAATTATAGTTTTAAAAACATTATTATTTAATAAATATTTTAAAAATCAATAATTAAATTTAATGTTATATTAATATAAATTATACGTGTCAATTTCAAGTTAATATATTATTTATAATCATTGCAAGGATGTAGCTTGACCAAGATTAAAGTGGAGGCTGAAAAACATTTTCTATGACATGTAAATATAATATAAATATAACATATATAATATACAGAAAAGTAAAAATCAAAATGTCATAGTACTTTAAATATCAAAACATCTTGTAAAATTATTTAAATATTTTTAATGAGTGTTTTTTGCATGTTAATTCATTAAAGGTATTTTAATTTTTTCATTATCATTCTTGACATTTTAAGTACAAAAACATACAGATTTTCCTCAATCCTTGTAATATAAGATAACTCAACATCAAGATCACTAAGGAGCGGAACCAAAGATATCAACTCTCTTAACAAATTTCAACAAATGCTTGGCGAAAAATTAAATCACAACAAAATAGGCAATTATAGTTATTAACAAAGAAAATGATTTAAGAATGTTAACTTTGTCAATTTTTAAATAAGAATACTAAAAATCAAAACCTAGTTTTCTCTCTCCGCCGCTAGGGTTTCCTCGCGACAGTCGAGCTCCTCACCTAGGCGCTTCTCCCTGTTTTCCTGCAGGGCTTCTCCCCCAATTTCTCTTTTTGTTTCTTCCCATGGCTCATCTGCTTATGTTGGCTTGGACTTATCGCAATCTCGGAGAGGTTTATTTGATTTTTGAATCAACTCAATCGTGCCTCCAACAAATGTCGAACCCTGCTTTGCTCCTTGCATCACAGCAATCGGGGATGGAGATGATTTTGTTCCGAATAGATCTAGGGTTGGCTCATTGCTTCGCATGCAATTGTGCTTAGAGAAGGGGTGGCTTGAATCTGTTCTGGTAGGATGAGTTTGCCTTTCAAATTTCCTCTTTCTCGCCATTATTAGATCTAGGGTGGGTTTTGCTGTTCTGTGAGCAATTGTGCCGAGAGAAGCCATCTCACATTGATGTTGTAATAGTAGATCCGGGTGGATGTCAATGGCCATTAACAAGGTTTTCCGGCCAACCAGAGACGGATTCCCCTCTGCTTTGGCTACGTTTAGGTGCCATCAATGCTACCTTGTGCAAATCGAAAAAGGAGAGGGGCATTCTCTGCTTCCAGTTGGGTTCTGCATGGGGGGATTTAAGCGGGTTTTGGTGTGGAAGGTCAAATTTCCATGCTGTGAAGGAAACTGATGGTGTTCTGCAAGGGCAGTATGGCCCTCAAGCTGGTAAAAGGCCTCTAGATCCCTTATTAACCTATGGTAGCCAAGGATTGTTGAGGATTGGAACAGATGGGCATATGTTTGGGTGCACTTGCAGACTAATAGGGTACCTGGTGACTGCACAGAGGACCATACCCCTCCTCTTACTTATTATTTTTTAAGAATAGCTTGGATGGCAACTTATAGTTTGGGGACTGTTTGTTGCCAAAATCCGTTTTCTCCCCGAGAAGCTGGTTAACTAGGTGAGGACGTCCAGTAGCTTTTGATGCTCATAGGGATCTTCCTTTCTACATTAGTAGCCCTATTTAGCCCATACAGCGATTGCAATTACAATCTCTAGTTGCAGATGGCTCTCTTTACTTAATTGTCTATATTTGTCATGAGCATAGTTTAAATCTGTTATTAGGCTGTAGGTTATGCTTCTGATTCTGCTTTTTAAGCTCTCATGCGTTAGGCTATATGCCATGTGATGGAGTTTTTACTGTACTTTTCTTATTATTCAATATATTTCTCCA